GCGCCGTGAAGTCCGTCGGGACGCGTCAACGGGGCATCTGCCTTGGCGCGGCGCCAAACCCATTTTCCATCCCTACGGATCTGGAACTTCAGTGAGTGGTGGGGAAGGGGCTGGCGCTGCGGTGAAACACAGCACACTCTGCTGACACATCCCCTCAGCCAGGCGCAACAATTTTGAACGTGACGCGTGCGCTCGCGGCGCATCTTGCCTTGTTTCTTTGCCGCATTGCGAACGCTCTCGTCACCCTTTGTCATTACTCGTTACCTTGGGAGCTCTGTCATGCAGAAGCTGACCGCTTTGACAAACAGCATCGATTTTCAGGTCAGACTTTGTGAATCAATACTGCTATGTTCATGGGACATATTTCGTTTCGCTGAACGAATCGCTTCCCTACAACGAAACTGAACGACGAAGGATCCCCATCAACTACTACCAATGGGTCAGTTTCAAGTCTTTGATAGCTCAATTCAGTGAAATTTCCTTCCTTGGCTGGGCAGTACATACTTGGCTTCTGTCTCAGAAATCAGTCAATACGTATTTGTAACATTAGCGATTCCGAACGTAGCGCACAAAAGCCTTGCGACATATGTGGCCTGAATCTTCTACCAATTTTCTATCGAAGCGACTGCTTCTCATAGTTGACTATCAGGATACCAGTCCTTTTTCTTCAGCTGTCCAGTTGACAGACGTTTTGATATGGCTTGTGCCGCGACGCTAAGGCGTGCGTACGACTTTCTTGTTGTGGCATGGCTGACTGGGTTCAAAGGCACGTTCCACGCTGGTCGTACTGAAGGACCTATGGGCGGGGGATCCAACCAGCAAGCCTTACTCGTTGATGGCTTACTCGGCTTACTCTTGCCCGCAGGACAAATAGGAGGAGAGCTCGAGTAAGGGGAGGAGGGGGTCCAATGGTCAATATCTCCACCCATTCCAGCGTGCACTGCGCTTTCGATGTAAGGCGACTTTCGTTTAATTAGCCCTAAGAAGAGCTCTATCCCAGCTTTACGTGCCAAGTTGAGCCCACAGCGTAGAGCACACTTCGAGCCCATCAGGGGGGGGAAAGAAGGGTGCTGCTAAGAGATCTCAGTAGCTACACCCAAACCCTCGGAATATTGAAAAGCACTATAAGGCTCACCAACGTGTTCAGCAGTTGCAGTGAAGACGCCTCAGATATCAACAACAAGTTTTTAGACTGTTTTTGTTTTGATAACTGCTGTTTTACGCCGCAGTGCGCGATACGAAAGTTATCACAAGAATGCTGAGTTGTGGGCAAAAGTCGGACCACGGGCGGGACTCGAACCCGCATCTTCTGCTTACCGGGCAGTTGCGTTACCACTTACGCTACCGGGGCCACTTTTCACCTTGCGGTTCACTGCCGATATCGGCTAACCGGCTCATCACGTTGAACGTGTGAGTGCTCGAAGGCAATGGCACAAATAGCCATTGAGCTGAGAGGTCAAAAGTGGCCCCGGTAGCGTAAGTGGTAACGCAACTGCCCGGTAAGCAGAAGATGCGGGTTCGAGTCCCGCCCGTGGTCCGACTTTTGCCCACAACTCAGCATTCTTGTGATAACTTTCAACAACTTCGCGTTCATTACCAGGTTTTCCCCTTTGTATGACAGGAATTTAAAATTTTGGAACGCTGTTCGGCTTGGTAGGGGCATTTAGCTAGTTCACTACAGATGCTTTCTGTGGAGACCTGCAAATTCCTGTGGAGCTAGGTGTACCCTTCGAAAAGGCTTTAGGTTTCACCAAAATGAGATGTGATTCACCAGGAACTAGCAATAAAAACTAGCGAATGTGCAAAATGCCCCACCAAGCCGAACTGCGCCCGAATTTTGTTCAGCTTTCAAAATCACACTAGTTCCATTTGTTTACAGGTGCCATATATCCTTGCCCTTCAAGCCTTTCTATTCTACATGCCTCGCTTCGTATGGAAATCACTCATCGCCGTTAGCGGTAATCGATATTCGTACACTGATCAATAAAAGTTTCTTGTCTAACAAAGTCGATGTTGTTCAGGCTATGACCTCGCTGGTGCAATCCAATACGTGGACGGGTTTTGGTCCACAGTGAAGACCAACGATGCAACTTTCAAAGGTAAGGCGGTCTTTGTAGGGTTATCGAAATTTTATGCGCCTGGGCGCAGTTTGGCTTGGTGGGGACATTTTGGTGGTATTACTGATCAGACCTGTGAAATCCATGATTAGCATGAACTTGACTTACACCTGGCAGAGTCCTACAGGTGATATCAAAGTGAGACCAGTACTTCAACAAGAACGAGCAGGGAAACTATGACAGTACCAAGTGCCCCCTCCAAGCCGAACAACGCCTTCCTTAGAAGTAGTGGATTATGCTTCACAAGTTGAGTTTACTCTGATTCCTTCCAGCTCGCATAGCGGCATTCGAAGGACGAGCATCAGCTTACATATGGGATGGGTTACGATTGGCCAGAAGTAAGAACAGTCGTGACATGGCCCTCTACTACACTATCTCCACTGTGATACAGACCCTGAATGCATGGCTCCAGGTAGGTGTGCTGCCTCGGAACTCACGTCACCATGTCATGACGCTTTTTTCAGTGGTTTTGCTTGAACTCGTTGCTGCAATCACCGCTGTACACACTTTGGGGGCCGGCACTCATCCACGATTTGATACGAGGAGACGATTGGCAGGTGAGGCACGGGTGGCTGGAAAGTGCTTGCTTTTGCTTGTATCACTTCCAGTCTCATTGCTATTTCGATCCTCTACATTGGTTTTTTTTGAAATTTGCTTATCCATCATTCACTCAATTATTCTCATTTCTTCGCTCTATAATTTCATCGTTTTCTCCCTATCATTTCTCTTTCAACTGGATTGTTTGCGTTCATCTTGCATTGAGACGACTCTGGTGCAAGCTATTGGGCCTCGATGAGTGAAACAAGCAGATCGCCTCGTTTTCTGCTCGTTGCTGCGATCCCCATGAAGTAGTGCACTGCAGGTAAAGCTATGAGTCCGAGTCTTACTGCAGAGGCGTCTTGAAAGGCAGGAAAAGGTGGCCCGTTGGTTTCCCGTTTAAGCTCTCACACTACCTTTGCCCTGGATGCTTTCTTGAAACTTTTGGCTTGTATCCCATGTGCACTGCATGTCCTGAAACAGGAGAGGGCGTGCTTAGTGTGCCCCTTCATGGCGCAGGGACTCGTTTTTTTGGTGTAATCTTCACCTATTTATGGAAGAGGCCGTCATTCCTATATGCGCTGGACATAATCCGATCTAAACAATCTGCCATGAACTCGGAAATGTCACATTGGATTCATATTCTTTTTAGATGTGGAAAGCGCGTGCACCTCGCACCATAAGGAACAGACCCAACTTAGTTGAAAGATTTTAATCGAGTCCATACGACCCCACCCCCTTAGAAGGTGGCTCGAGACGCCCCTCCCCCCTCTTCCATCAATGACGCTGGCAACAACCACCTGCCTCCTGCAATCGTGCTCAGTGTCTTTGAGTAGGAGAATTCTTTCGGAAAAGTCGAGTAGGAGAATTCTTTCGGAAAAGTCTATATTCGTCCCTACTTGGAGATGGCGGAAATTTTTTAGTCAGTTTTTCAGGTGACCGGGCATTTCCCACGAATCACACACTGTGACTTCAACAGACGGCGGCCGGCAAGTGTACAGGTGGGTTTATCCTTGATATTACTCGTAGTCACAATTTACTCATCTAGTGCACCGCCAAATGCGATTAAAGGCAGTTGGCACAATAGCTTGGTACTTGGCCGCAGGACTCTGTTCAGTGGGAAAATGACGAAAAAACGAAGTGAAACGGTCAAAAACCTGCGAAGAAAAGCCTTCGTTCTTAATGACTCAAAAGCAATTTCGGACGAGTTTTCCGTAGGCATCTTGCCAATAACCGCTACGGTAGATACGGCTGCATGTAGGTACTCATATATCCATGCAGCACCGCAGTATTTTTCTTCGCAAATGAAGCAATACGAGCATCAGGTAAGGTCGTCCATTTGTGGGCGGGCGGGCGCGGTGGGCGTTCGGGTCGGTATGTTGTAGCTTGATAGGGCCTTATAAGGGTACCTTCCTTGGAAAAGGCGCTACGCAGCGCCTGCTCAGGGTCGCGGAATTCCGTCCTGCCAGGCATATTAATCCTACTCGTCTCAGGGGTTTATCGTGCCAACTGCCTTTTAGGGGTAGCAAGAGCTTGAACTGAGGGCGACAGGCAAGCCATCAGGTGCATCTGCCTTTAAAATTGACCCACATGCCGACTTTTCGTGCGTAGTACCTTTCAAACAGGATCAGGCAGAAGGGGAAATGGCTTTTTGTAAAGCTCGGCAAACTCAATGATGAGCGTGCTCGACTTGCGAAGGGAATAAGGGGGGGGG